TTTTTTTTTTTTTTTCTCTTTTTAGCCACATCATGTCTGAGTACGGGAGGATGACAGACACAGAGCGAGACCAGATAGACCAGGACGCTCAGACGTTCATGAGGACCTGCTCTGAAGCGATTCAGCAACTGCGAACACAAGGTGAGGTGCTCTGAGCCGCCAGCGCGACTGATCGGACGAGGCTCGTGCGCACAGCCGGCTGACGCTCTGTCTTGTGTCCCTGCTCAAGTGTAGGTTTCAGGACTTAAAATTCTTCTTTTCTTGATCAGCGTGTTAACCTGAGCCGTTAAAAGTAGGGAAGAGGCCGTGGTTCGGGTTACGCGGGTCGGGGAGGGGGTAGCAAGGACCTCTCCAGGCACAACCAAACATTTCGTAAGGGTGCCGGGGCACAGCGGACGGATGGTGTGTGCGTGCCTGTGTTGTGTGTGGCGTTCAGGGGGCCGTGGTCGAGGCACGTGGACGAGGACGGAAGAGGGTCATCTCCGCGCTCTAGCTGTAGTATTGGACTTTGGGATCCAACTGTCGTGCCGAAGAGGAGGGCTGTGGAGCCAGGGGGGGCTGATGTGCCCACCCCAGCCCCACCACATTCTGCCCAGATGGCTTTGGCAAGTCACTTAACCACCTTAGGCCTCAGTTTCTTCGTCTATAAAATGGAGACAGTGCCAGGGCATATCTCTTTGGGTTGTTACGAGAATTCAGTTGAATTCAGCCCATGCTTAGAGCCGTAGTTGGCCCTTGGGTTATTAGTCACTTGCTTCCACTGATGTTTCACTTTTATCGAGGCAGTGAGATAGCTTCCCAAATCGTATATCCTCCTGGATTCTTTCATAGCCTGCTTAGACGGATACAGATTGCATGAAATAGCCCAAAGTTCAGAGTGGGCAGATGACTGCTGTGTTCTTGACACTGACTTCTACTTGGGAAGCTTCCATCACAGCCCTGAAGGGCCATTGGAGTCTGACGACAGCTATGGGCATTCTTGCCCGAGAAATACACGTACACCCAAAATTTTGTGTGCAGTCTCACGGATCCGCTGAATCGCTCAGGGGAATCTCAGGTTACGCAGCCGTATAATAAAAACGTGATTCATGTCCTGTCCCCCTAAGGGCCTGTACATTCATTGAAATCACCTAGAAAATACATGATTGTGAATAAAATCAGCAATTAGGTACCAAACCGTGTGAGCTTGGGCTTCTTGTTGACTGAACTGTGGCGGTTTCTTTGTGCTCAAAGAAAGAAAGAAAGAAACAGAGCTCCAAATTGCCTTTGGGATTAGCAGTAATATATGCTAAGTGCTGCCAGAGGGCCTGCCCGCCGCAGGCACCCGGTCTCCCAGTGAGTGGGAGCTGTCCTGCCACAATGGATGGCATGGACTCGAAGACAACGTGATAGTTGCAGAAGCCGGGCATCCTTGTGGCTAAGACAGTCCAGGAAGGTTTCCTTGAGAAGGAAGGCTTACCTCCAGGTCTGAGGGGCGCTTGGAACGTGAATGGCAAAGGGGGAGGACGGAGCATTCCAAGCTGGAAAACAGCACCGACCGGCCGGCTGGTGTGTGGTTTGAGTTTGATTTAAACATGTTCCTTGAAGGTCAGCTTGAGCCTTGGATGCTGTCAGTACAAACGGGGTCAGCTCTCCAGAAGTGAGCCACATCGAGTACGAGCCCTGCGTGCTGTAATAAACCATAAATTCTTTGACTGTAGTTGTTCTACAGGTTTAATCTTTTGCTCGTGCGAAGCCCAGTAAATCTTACTCTTTTACAAATGGAATGGCACTTGACAGAAGGCTTGTTTTATAGCCGTATTTTTAAAAATACTTTCAATAGAGAAACTGTTCTAAGGAAGCTGATGAATTGTTCTTCGGTGTAATTGAATACGGAGACCTGACTGTTGTCCTTTTCTGTTCCAGCCCACAAGGAGATACACTCCCAGCAAGTGAAGGAGCACAGGAGCGCCGTTTTGGATTTCATTGAAGATTACTTGAAAAGTATTTCATTTTCTTTTAAGGGTCAAATGTGGCATTGCACGATAGGCGTGATGCAAGATGTAGCTTTGCTAGCTGAAGACCATAGTGTCTCATGATGTTTCGTGACACCCTTGCCTGACAAGCGGTTTTAAATGGTCTCTGTTCTGGTGTTTTCCCTACAACAGGAGTTTGTAAACTTTACTCAGAACAAAGAGCCATCCGAGTTAAGCGAGTGGTGGATAAGAAGAGACTGTGAGTATTGTCTCTGTTGGTGTTCCGTAATTAATAATAGTAATAACGACAACGGACGTTTGTGGAGTCTTCATGCTTTACAACGTACGGAGCTCGGGTGTCCTCGGAAAATGCCATAGCCAGGCCTTACTGAGCCCTGACTGTGCTGGGCACGGTACCAGATTCATCGCTAGCTCGCAGCTGCCCTACAGGGCAGGTACTGTTGTTATCCCTGATTTCCGGACGGGGCGGCCGCTGTGGGGCGGCTGTGGGGAACTCAGGAGGTAGCAGCTCTGCGGTTCGAGCCCAGGCTGTGTGGTTCAGAATTCACACGCACGCCCACCCTGTGTAGATAACCCTGTGAGGCTGGCGCAGTTTTAGCCATCTCACCTCTTTCTCTTTGCGCCCCCCTTCCCTGCCGCCTCCCCCATGCCGCTCCTCGTGGTCTCTCAGAGTGTTTTCCTGAGACCGGAGCTGGGGCGCAGCAGCCAGTGAGGCCCCCCCC